ATCCTGAGCAATCCTTTTTTTTTTTTTTTTTTGTCTTTTTCCTTTTTATCGGTACCGGGGATCGAACTCACGACTGCCTGCTTGCAAAGCAGGTGCTTATGCCGCTGAGCTAAATCCCCAACCCCTATCCTGAGCAATCCTAATGTTTGATAAAATATAGAAACATTTAATTATAATATGATTGTGTGTGTTTGTGCATGTGTGTATGTGGCACTTCTTTGCACCTAGGGCATCACATATGCTAGAGACTGATGCTACCACTTATCTTCCTGCCAAAATGAGAAACTAGTTGCCAGTCTACCTTTATAATTTACTTTTCAGTATCTTATCCTGGTTTTGCAAATCTGCATGCATAGGAGTCACAGATTTTGCGTGTCATTTTTCTGTATTCTGGAACATAAAGTCTAAAACTATATACAACCCTAATTAGAGTAGAGATGTCTGTCTGTTTTTATCAAAAGCACTTTGAGTCAGTGTCTTCATTTTAATATCTAGAATGACTCATTGTTATACCCTTTGATAACTTCAAGATTATGACTGATAAAATGTCACATTTGGACTGGATTCTGCATTTCAGGCATTGTAGTAGAACTGTTCTCTGAATCTGTCAGAATTGTAATAAATCTAAATGGTGTATTAAATTTTCTTTTTTTTTTTTTTTTTTTTTTTTTTTGTCTTTTTCATTTTTATCGGTACCGGGGATCGAACTCACGACTGCCTGCTTGCAAGGCAGGTGCTTATGCCGCTGAGCTAAATCCCCAGCCCCAGTATTAAATTTTCTGCCTGTTTTTTTCTGATCCAGAATTTCTTGGTGTTCAAAAAGCAATACATATTTGAGTTTAGAAGGGAAAATGAACCTTCAAGCAACAGGGTACGTGTTGGTTTCCGCTTAAAATTCAACCTATGAAAAAGAGAAGTATTTTTCCTTGAAAGAATGATTCAGTAGAGTGTGCGAAAGACCACTTTAAAAATTCCTGGCTTTGTCAGGCATGATAGTCCATTCCTGTAATCCCAGCACCAGGAGGCTGAGGCAGGATTGCTGAGTTCGAGGCCAGCCTGGACTGCAAAATGAGTTGAATCAATACCTTTTTATTTACTTAAGCATGTTCTATGAGCTACTATATGATCTATTTTGCAGAAAGTTCAGTGGACATTGTAGATATACATTAAGTTGATTTGTTCAAAGGTTTGGTACAACTCATGTTTCTTTGTTGATTTTTGTCTACTTGATCTATTTGTGACAGTGGAGTATTGAGGTCCCGTACTACAATTGCATTAGTGCTTCTCTGATTTTTTGTATCTGTTAGTATTTGTTTTATATAATTGGAGTGCTAGGAGTCTTATATATGCATGATTGTTATCTGTTCCTCTCGGATTGTTCCTGTGACAAGTATGTACCTTTCTCTCTTCTGATCAGCCTTGGCTTGAAATCCACTTTGTCTGCAAATAGAAGAGCTACTCCTGCTCCCCCCACCCAGGTTCCTGTTGCATAGAGTAATATTTTCCATCCTTTAACTTTCAGTATGTGTATTTCTTTTTGAGTTATGTATGTTTCTTGTATGCAGCATATTATTACATGCTGTTTTATTATCCACCCTGCATATCTCTCTTTAGTGAATTGAGATCATTCACCTTGGTGGTTATATCTGACGTATATCGACTTATTGTTGTCATTATACCATACTCCTGTTGTTTTGTTTGTCTTGCGTGGCGGATTTATTCTATTAGAGTTCCTCATTTTCTTTCTCCTAGAATATCCTTCAGAATTATTTGGAATGCTGATCACGGTCATGAATTTTTTTAGATGTTTGTTGGCATCAGAGCATCTTATTTCTCTGTCAATTTTGATAGAAAATTTTGTGAGGTATCTGGGTTGGAGGTTTGTTTTCTTTTAGGGCTTGAAATACCTCATTACAAGCTCTCCTTGACTTTAGGGTTTGTGTTGAAAAGTCCTCTGTGATTCTGATGGAGTTTCTTTTATAGATGATTTGTTTCTTTTCTCTAGCAGCTTTCAGTATTCTGTTCTTGTGTTGAGTTTCCAGAATTTTGACTATTTGCATGGTATAGTTTTATTTCTCTAATTATGACTATTTGGAATGCTAAATGCCTCACTGATCTATATGTCAAATTTTTTTCTATGTATGGAAAGTTTTCTGTTATTTCTTCTGTGAAATGACTCTTAATGACCTTTGTGCTATATTGTGATTTTTCATTATTCCTTGAATTTATCTGCTTTGTTATTTCTGCTGCTACCATTTCAGAAAATTCAGGTGGAAGACTTTTGATTTCTTTCATCTCAATGCTTCCTGGATTTGATTTGTGGAAGTCTGAGGTTTGGGTTGCATCTTGCTTTCATGATTTCTCATTTTCTTTCCTTTTATTATGCATTAATTTTTTTCTGCATTGAAGCTTGTAAATTGCTTGTGTTGTATAGCTTTATTGCTAGTATCAAGTTCTCTTTAAGTAATGACTACTTTTCAGAGATGTCTTCTAGATATAGTTCACTTTTGGCCATTGATCTGTCTCAGTATCTTGCATCTCCTGTTTATTAGGGATCAGAGGTTGCAGCCTGTTTGGTCTAGTTTGGTTTTGGACTGTGGTATTGTTTATGATCCTCTGACAATCTAGGTGATGGCATACAATGAAGATCAATTGATCAAAATAACTATCATCATTGATAGAGTAATCAATAATAACAATAGCATAAAAACACAAAGTGGAAAATGACAGACTGTAATAACTAATCCTGTGGCCCTTTTAACCATACGTACAACATCTAAGACAGAGCAGAAAATTATACACAGTAAATATCCACTTGATAGAGCAATTTTACCATTTTTTACCACAAGGCACTATTCAACTGTAATGAGACATACTCTACCTAAGTACTTCCAGATTCATAATGATAAATGGTATATGTCTGGAAGCCTGAAGCAAAAAGAAAAAATAGATTATAATGTACTATACAGTTGATGATGTGAAAAATGTGGTAGGATTGATGTAAAAGGAAATTAATGGTATTAGGTAACAGTAACAGAGAAGACCAACTATGAAAAGTATAAATAATAGAGAGTATGAATTAAACTAGAAGAAAAGAAAATAAGAAAGCCAGGCATGGTGGTGCACACCTGTGATCCCAGTACTCAGGAGGCTGAGACAGGAGAATCACTGTGAGTTTGAGGCCAGTTTGGGCTACGAAATGAGTTCATGGGCAGCCTGAACTACATAATTAAATCCTGTCTCAAAAAGACAAGGAAAGGGGCTGGGGATTTAGCTCAGCGGCATAAGCACCTGCCTTGCAAGCAGGCAGTCGTGAGTTCAATCCCTGGTACCGATAAAAACGAAAAAAGACACACACACACACACACACACACACACACACAAAAGACAAGGAAAAGAAGAAGACAAAGGAAAAGAAAATACTGAGAGAAAAAGTTAAAAAATGAGAAAAGAAAGGAGGAGAATAATAGGAGGATCTATTCAAACATACAAAGCAAAGAAGAGACAGGTGAATGCATGGTACCAGAAGAAAAGAAGAGTAAAAAAGTTAAAAATGTTACAATAGAGAAGTAAAAACTGTTGGTTAGATGGATAGGGGGGAAGGAGGAGGGGAGAGGGATTCTGATGTATTTCCAGGAGAGTGTTTTACAGGCCCAATTGTCTGTCTTTAATCTTACAAGTCACATTCCTCTTTGTGACACTTTGTAGTCTGTTGAGTTTTTATGGAGATTACTCAGTTCAAGAAATCCTCTCCCCATAGTCTCCTGTGTGTGGCAGCTGTTCAAGTTGAGGTATCAAAACAGGGAATGTGCTGCCTTAGTTCTGAGACTCCTGTCAAGGATTCCTGCTGCCTGGGAACCAATGCTGTTCACCAGATGTACATTTCGGTGTGGAATTCTTGGTGTCTCCTGACACCAGCCAGAGGTTGTGTCAACTCAGGATCCCAGCAGTCCCAGATCTGCCCAAGATTAATGTGGAAAGATTCCTGCAAGCCCAGTGAGGTTGCAGGTGTCTCATGCATGTCAGAGTGCTGGGCAAAAGGGGCAGAACCTCAAGTCTTGCTGCTTAACCAGAAAGAGGACTGGCCTATGGTATTAGGCAGACTGTGCCCAGGACACTGGCATGATGCAGGGCAGGGAATCTGATGCATCCAGAGTGGAGGCAGTAGGCCTGGTGCCGAATGGGCACTGCCGCAGCCCAGGTGTACCAGGTGGAGATTCACATGGGCTTGGTACACAGGTTGCCCAGAGACTCTAGGAAGAATGGCTGTCATCAAGAAATTAAGCAATAACAAATGCTGGCAAGCTGTGACAAAAGAAGAACCCTTCTCCATTGTTGGTAAGAAGCATAGACTGGTGCAACCACTGTGGAAATCAGTGTGGAGATTCCATTTCTCCCAGGTATTCCCCACCTAGGTATCTTCCCAAAAGTGTGACAAGCATCATGCAATAATGATATATGCATTCTCATTTTTATAGCAGCACAAAGTATAACATCTAAATCTTAGAAACAACCCATACACTCAGATGAATGGAAAAGAAAATGTGACTATTACATACAATGGACTGCTATTCTGCCATGAAGCATAAACTTGAAACTTTTTTTAGGTAAATAGATGCATCTTGAGACCATAATGTTAAGTGAAATAAAATCAGACACACATGTTTAAATAGTGCATTGTTTCTCTTGTATGAGAAATCCAAAGGGTAAATAAGGATCAAAATGGAGGACAGAAATGGAGAGGTAGGAAAAACTTGTTCAAATGGAAAGAGGAGCCTGCTTGGCAAGCATAAGGTCATGAGTTTGATCTCTGGTACCAGAAAAAAAAAAAAAGAAAAGAAAAGAAAGAAAGAGGAACTAGGCGGGGGAATGGAGGGAATGCTAGGAAAAAGGGTTTAAAAAATAGAATGGAAGAAAAAAATGGAAACAAAGCATTTGTAAATACAAAATTACAATAGAAAGTATAGGAGAAAGTTAAAGGGAGGGGATGGGGTGGGCAAAAAGGAATTAAGATATATTATATCAAGGAACAAATTTCCCATGAGTAATGTGATCTTTTTGTATGGCAAACGTACTCATTAAAATACATAAATAAACATTGTAGTAGAACTAGTCACAATTTATGTATAATAAAATTTTGGACATTTCTCTTTATTTTGGAAAAAAATTAAAATTTCTGGCTTCTCGTATTCTGTTTGATCGCTACCTTGGAGTGAGTCACCCTGGACCACAGGGGCACTGTGAAAGTCATTTGTAATCTCAGCAAAGTGTTTAACCTTCTGAGACTGAGTTCCTTTGCAAACTGGTGAAGCTGGTTTATTCCCTGTCCTGCTTTCCTCTTGCTTCTTTTGCAGGAAGTTGTTTGTATAAAAAGAAAATTACCATAAGGATATATTTTCATGATTTAACCCCCAAAGATTATGATTTTCTTAGAAACTGAGCAGAGAGAATGGTTATATATAAAGAAGCAAAGGATAATTTAAAAGTAAAATGCTTATTTTACATTTAACATAAGTATGTATAAAGATCCAGAGAGTAATGGTGCAGGTTAGCAAATGAATGTTTGAAAATTCCAGTCCATTTTCCTGAAATAAGACACTGAAGCTCTGTCATATGTGCAGAACTGTAAGACAAGATGGGTCGTAAGTCTGAGTAATGGCTTATAATTTAGAAACAGCATGTCTCGGTTACAAATCCAGTCATAAACACAGGTGGGTCATTAAACAAGGAATATCTGTGTTGGCTTCAGTGTTTCTGCCTAGAATATTGTTGAGTATTTTCTGAAGTGCTGGTTGAGCATTCATATGTCTCTTGAGGTGGTCTTTTTCATAAATGTCCTTCTTTACCTGTCTGTTGCGAAGGAGCTTTACTAGGTAAGTTCAACTGGGTTGGAATTTACTCTTAGTGCTTGAAATACAACATTCCAAGCTCTTTTGTCCTATTTAAGGATTGTGTTAAGAAGTCTGTTGTAGAGGCAGGGGATTTAGCTCAGCGGCATAAGCACCTGCCTTGCAAGCAGGTGGTCGTGAGTTTGATTTCCGGTACCGATGAAAAAAGAAAAAGAGAAAAGAAGTCTGTTATAATTCTAATTGGTTTACCTCTATAGGTGACTTCATGTTTTCTCTGTTTTAAATTTTTGTTGCTGTGGTTTTTGGGTATATGGCAGTATGATAAGACATGCCTTGGTGAGCTGCTTTTTTCATCATACTTTTTAGTGTTCTCTATGCCTAATATCTGTGTTTAACTCTTTTCTCATCTTTTGGAATTTTCCTACTATGATCTCTGTGAACATATTAATAATTCCATCTATGTTATCTTCTAGTGTTTCCATAACTCCAGTTAACCCTAGGCTAGTGTCATTAGTGTTGTGTAGTAGCTGCTGGATGGTCTTTTCTTCTTTCTTTGGGGTCTCTGTAAGTACTTGTACATAATTTACCATTTGTCCTCAATTTCAGACCGATTGGTCTGTCCTGTTGCTCTTTCTGGGCTGGGCATATGGCCGACAGTGTGTGACTGGGAGTGGATACTCGGTCTCATTGTCTTCCTAGGCTGGGTGCAGAGCCCCAAACTGTGACTAGAGGCACGTTGCTCACTTGACTGGTCCATCCCCACATTTCCCTTTCCATTACATTGTAAACATTTTTATGTATCTGTGACAGGTCAGCATTTCATGTCATTTAACTGTAAGAGAATTCGTCTTCCTTAATCTAATTTTGTTAGACATTCTCCAATGAATACTGTAATTCTTGTAATTAGCATTTTAAATTACCATTCACGAATTTTACTTTGTGCCTAATCACAAGTTTGTCTGTGAAAGTAGTTTCAAGTTTCACAATGGTGTCTAAATACAAGCAGAGGAGGAAAGCATGTATTTCCTAAATAGTAACTTAAATATATATATATGTATAATTTCCTTTTTTTTTTTTTTTTTTTGGTACCAGGGATCAAACTCACGACCTAGAGCTTGCCAAGCAGGCACTTATGCCGCTGAGCTAAATCCTTAGCCCCATATTTCCTATTTTCCATCAGAGCAAGTCATTAGACACTCATCTACCCCATTAGATATTCATCTACCCCATTCTCTATGCTCCCATCTGATCCAGCAGGCCCTCACCTAAACCTGCTTTACAGACAGTTTAGAAATAAAATGGTTTAACCAATAAGAGAACTAGTATTCCCATTCTGGCATTTCTTTAGCAGTGATTTCCCATTTAGCATCAAAATTCCTGTGTGCTAAGCACATCTAGATAAAGAATAAGTGTTTGACAGCCAAGGCATGAAGTATTTGTGGGATTCAGCCTCATTTCAGTTTCTTATGATCTGAGATATTTCATGTTGTCTCATTCTTCCTGGAAATATATTTCTGATGATTTAGAAGGCAGTGACATTTGAGGATGTGGCTGTGAACTTCACCATGGAGGAGTGGATTTTGTTGGAAGCATACCAGAAGGAGCTCTACAGAGATGTGATGTGGGAAAACTTTAGGAATGTGACTGCTGTAGGTAAGGGAGATATTCTTTCTCACTTTTGCAATCAGAGAGCATTGGTTATTACTCAACACTGAAGTTTACTTTATTGGAATATACACATATTTTTATGAATCTTCCGGATATGATCACATTGGACCACCAATTCAACTAATAATAATTTTTATATAGTTTAGTAACTCATCATTACATTTTTTTTTTATACTTCAGGAGAAAACTGGGATGATCAGCAAATTGAAGATGAATACAAAAGTTTCAGGAAGAATCTAAGGTAATCTTCACTCACAAAAATGTTCTCAAAGGTCAGAGACATTAAAACCAAGGTACTATGCAAACAATGCCATGATCAAAAAGATACAGAGAGCCAAGCATGGTGACATGTTCCTGGAATTTCACCACTTGGGCAACTGAAGCAGGAGGATTGCCAGGAGTGCAAATTATAGTTCAAGATCAGACTGAACTATATAGGGAGACCTTGTCTCAAAAATCAAGAAACAAAATGAGGTCATGTTCAGATTTATTAATCACAAAATTTCTCCAAAGATGTATGTTTAATATCCAGAATCTGACACTTGAATATTTGAAATCTTTCCATATCTGAAATTTAAGGAGTAATGATATTATGCCATACATCACATTATGCAGTTGATAATACATGATTTTCAATACTCAAAATTATAAAGCTGTTGAATGAAATTGCATTTTGGCATTGACTTTAGGTATATATAAAAAATTGTGTTTAGTTGAGAGACAAGTGCAAGCTATCTCATTTTATATACACGTTTTCAAAATACTTTATCAAATTAAGTAAACAGTGGTATATGTATGTCAATATGGTGTACACATTCAGAATTTGCAACACTGATAACCCTGAAGAATTATTCAAAAGCCAAGTGAATACCCCTGTTTGGATAATAGCTATTTCCAAACAGTCCTCAAAAGCATTTAGTCTATTTATGTTTCAAACCCAGTATTAGAAGACACCTTCCCATAATGTTTTGGGAACATTATTGTAGTATAACATCTATGGAAATGTGTGTAGAGTTTCCTCAAAAAGTAAAAATAGAAATTCTGTTTTATCCAACTGTATTTCTACTGAGTGTATTCTCCAAAGTTAAAGTTATCATATTACAGTGACACATGCCTCTCCATGTTTATAGCTGTAGAACTTACAAAAACGAATCTCTGGAAACAGCCTAGATGCCCATTCACAGATGAGTAGAGATGGGGTAGCCCAGGCCAAATAGAACGTACTGGAAAGCTATGGCACATTCATGCTCAGCCTGGGCAACTTAATGATCGAGGAGACTCTGTATCAAAAGATAAATAACTCTGAGAATATAGTGCAGTGCTAGATCTTAGGTTCAGACGCTATCACTGAAAATGATGTTTTGCATATATATAATTGAATGGTATTTAACCATGAAGGAGAATGAAATGATGCCATTTGCCAAGATATGTATGGATCTGGAATCCATTCAGTAAGATAAACACAGTTCAATATCATGTGTTGTATTTTATTTAAGCAATGCAAACTATGAATTAAGAAATAAAAGGAGAGATGTTAAAAATGAAAGAGGCAGACATTTGGGACAGGGAGAAGAGGTTCAGTGGAAGGGTGGGGGGTAGAGTCATGGGGGAAAATGGTATGAAAAATAATCTCATGTAGTATGCATATGCAGCAGTTACTCAGAATGAAAGTAACTAGTGTGTATTGCAAACATCGCTTCTTCCCCACTCCCAAATGAATACTATTTTTTCTTTGACAGAAGTGTAGAAGTAGATAAATGCTCTCAAAATAAATTATGGCATCAACATGGAGAAATGGTTTTTATGACTCCAGATACAAATGTGCACATGAAATTGCTTGATACAAAGCCAGGAGAAAGTCTTGCAGGTGAAAAGTCTCTGATTGGTCATTCATCACCAACCGTGCCCATCTTACGTAACACTGGACTCAAATCATATGAGCTGCTTGAATTTGAACAGAAGCTGTGTAACTGTAACAAGCACGGGAAAACTTCCACTGACTTTCAGTCCTTGCAGAAACGTGCAAAGACAAATCCTGAAGAAAAACCATATGGATGTAAGCAATGTGAAGAATCCTACTCTGATTGCAATAAAGGAAGCAACAATGAAGAGAAAGTCTTTATGTACAAGCAGGATGACAGAGCCTTCAGTACACCCAAAGATGTTGAAATTCAGGAAAGAAATCACAGAAAGGTGACCTATATATGTATACAACATGCAAAAAGTTCAAATTCTTACGAATATATTCACAAACTTGAAAGAGCTCTCACTGGGGCAAAATCACACATATATAAACACAGTTGGAAATCATTAAAGAGTAGCACTTCGTTTGGTAAACATGAGAGAAGTGACACTGGAGGAAAACTCTATGTATGTAAACAATGTGGGAAATCTTTCAGAATACAGAAACACTGTCAAAGACATGAACAAACTCACACTGTGGAGAAGCCTTATGTATGCAAACAGTGTGGGAAAGCTTTCAGTACCCACAGTTACTGTCAAACACATGAAATGACTCACAGTGGGGAAAAACCTTATGTATGTGAGCAGTGTGGGAAAGCCTTCACCAGATACAGTGAATGTAAAAGGCATGAGAGGAGTCACACTGAGGAGAAACCTTATGTGTGCAAGCAGTGTGGGAAAGGTTTCATGACACCCAGTCATTGTAAAGCACACGAAATGATTCACACTGCGGAGAAACCCTATGTGTGTAAACAATGTGGGAAAGCTTTCAGCACACACAGTTATTGTCAAAAGCATGAAAGGACCCACACTGGGGAGAAACCTTATGTATGTAAGCAATGTGGGAAAGCTTTCAGAACACACAGTTACTGTCTAATACATGAAAGTACCCACACTGGGGAGAAACCCTATGTATGTAAGCAGTGTGGGAAAGCTTTCAGCAAACTCAGTATATATAAAAGCCATGAAAAGACTCACAGTGGGGAAAAGCCATATGCATGTAAGCAGTGTGGGAAAGCTTTTGCCAGAAACACTCATTGTCAAGAACATGAAAGGACTCATACTGGAGAGAAGCCCTATGTATGTAAATGTTGCAGGAAGAATTTCAGCACTCGCATCTATTGTCAGAGACATGAAAGGGCCCACGCTGGGGAGAAACCTTATGTATGCAAGCAGTGTGGGAAAGGTTTCATGACACACAGTTACTGTAAAACACATGAAATGACTCACACTGGGGAGAAACCCTATGTATGTAAGCAGTGTGGGAAAGCTTTCAGCAAACGCAGTATATGTAAAAGTCACGAAAGGATTCACAGTGGGGAAAAGCCATATGTATGTAAGCAGTGTGGGAAAGCTTTTGCCAGAAACACTCATTGTCAAGAACATGAAAGGACTCACACTGGGGAGAAGCCCTATGTATGTAAATGTTGTGGAAAGGGTTTTAGCACTCGCATCTATTGTCAGAGACATGAAAGGGCCCATGCTGGGGAGAAACCTTATGTGTGTAAGCAGTGTGGGAAAGCTTTCACTAGAAACAGTCATTGTCAAGAACATGAAAGGATTCACACTGGGGAGAAGCCCTATGTATGTAAATGGTGTGGGAAGAGTTTCAGCACTCGCATCTACTGTCAGAGACATGAAAAGGCCCACAGTGGGGAGCAGTGTGGGAAAGATTTCATGACACCCAGTCATTGTAAAACACATGAAATGACTCATACTGGGGAGAAACTCCTATGTATATAAGTAATGTTGGAAAGCTGTTAGTACACAACAATTTTCAGAATCATGAAAGGAATCACAGAGTGTTAAAATCCTGTGTAAACAATATGGAAAAGCCTTTATTTACTCTAGTAATAATCACAGACATTTAAAAACTTTAGAGAGAAAACCCTTGCATTTTTCCACTTACCTTGAAAATCATGAAAGAATTTTCACTGAAGAGAAATCCTGTGTAAATAATGTGTGAAAATTTTGTATGCTTGTCATGACAAAACGTGCATAAATTCAAATGTAAGAAAGCTAAGAATCAGAATAACAGAGACCAGTATAGTTGTGTTAGGAATGAGATACACTATGTCAGAGCACACATGCAGAAACAGTCTTCAAATATATTTATGGATTAATGCATTGATGACTTTGGTAACTGACAAATAATGTTAAGTTCAGAATAACAAAGCACATTTACATCCAAGTATTTAGCACATGGCCTTTAAGGGACATTTTACATGCAAACCATCACTTTAGTTTGCATGGGTAAAGTGAAATTTTTTATTCATACTAGGAAACTTTACTGAGTCATAAAAGAAAGGAAAGCATTTGTGACAATGTAGATTAACCAGGAGGTCATTATATAAAATAAGCTGCGAACAGACAAATGAAAGCTTGATTGTATTGTTTTTGGCATCTAAACTTGACAACTTCAAACTATCAAACAAACAGTTTAGTAATGGTTGCCACATATGTGGTGGGGAAGTTGAGAGATTTTAATGAGAAAGCACAGTGTTTCCCTTATAGAGCAGAAAATGGCATAAATCCCACAGTGACTATGGTGATTGATGCAGTGACACACCGCATCACAATATGCTAAAAATAGTTTGTAGGGTTTCCTGCATATGTGAGGAAAGTAATTGTGTTACATGATGTGAATGCTACCAAGGAAGAATGTGGTAACTTCACAATATAAACAGGAACAGACTGCACTGTACACTCGCAATATATGATTTGGTTATTTTTTTTGTTTGTTTAATGAATGAATACAATTAAAGTTAGCAAGTAACATGATGATAGTTTCATGATATGTCCAAGGAATCTCTCCTTTCTTCAATTTTTAGGAAATAGGAAAAAGGGGATATAAAAAGATATGGTGTCAGATACCAACTCCCTACAATGATTGCAAACTTTATGTCACAAACATGAACTAAATAATGATAATTATATGAATAATGATGAGATGAAATGGAAAAGGGAATCTGGAACTGAAGGGAAGATGGTGGGTGAGGAGGGGAAGGGAAATATAAAAATCAAAGTGTTAAATACATACATCTGCTCCCTAAATGAACATGCACTTCAAATATGTATTAATTTAAAAGATTAATACTTAAGTATTTAGAGATATTTCTTACTTTTTCTGCTTCCTAAGGATTTATCAGTAGATGTACTGAAAATATTATGTAAAGGTACTTTTGGGTATCTGGGAACCAACCTTCATGTTGCAGATTTCTTTGATTTTTTAATTCCCATGAGAACATTTTATCTTCATCATAGGCTCCAAATAAATGTATTGACACTGACTAATTTAAGCAGCAACCCCTTGCATGTACTTTCATTGATTACCAATGACAGTGATTATGTGAGGGATAGGAGGTAGGTATATACACATACTTTTGTAATCCACAAACAAGCCCCCAAACTCGAGTTCAAAAAATGAGGCAAAAACATATTTTAAAAAGCAGCGCTGATTTATTTTATCCTGGGCCCAGCAACAGTGCAGTTGGACATTGCAAAAGCTGTGTGTTGTTCCTCTATACTTGCTGCCTTTAAGTATATATCACAGTTTACAAAGTAAGGGGTATGGACGTGGATCAGGAAATCTGCTAATGAGGAACACCTTTGTTTTCCTTAGCAGAGGCTAGAAGTCTAGCAGTAATTAACAATCTTTGTTAGCTTATTTTAGCACCACATCTGTTATTTGTAAAGGGGCAACAATGGTTAACATATCAATTAGGCTAGGTTTTTAGGGATTTACAACTCTTTACAGAGGGGAGCACTGATTAACATATCAATTAGGTCACCCAGAGGAAAATAAAAATGCATACAGAACAGTAGGCCACATTACAGGTATTTTGGTATAATACAAATATAACGAAGCTCTTTTTGCTAGTGTACAACATTCCCCACTGATTTTAGTCTGTGAGCCAAATCATTGGCTTGTGAGGTTTCTGTTTATACCTTGTGTCTTTAAAATCATAAGCTTTAAGATTTTTGACATAGTTTATCAACTTGTTTACAATACAAGGCCCAATAGGAGGATTAACAAAGGTCTTGCAGCTGTCATTATTAAAGCTATTAACCAAAAAGAGAAAGAAAACCAACATTTAAATTTACTCTGTTCCACGCTGGGGATTTAGCTCAGCAGCATAAGCGCCTGCCTTGCAAGCATTCAGTCATGAGTTCAATCCCCGGTTCCAAAAAAAAAAAAACACCTCATTGTAATTTACTCTGTTCCATCATACAAGTAACAATTTTTTTAAAAAGCCAGACAGAGACTTCTTTGGGGTCTCCATAAGAGAGAACACAAGATTATCAGTTACATTTGGCAATCTTAAGCTTTAAAAAGTCCTTGGAGGGAAGGACAGTCCACTTATCTGTAGGCTGATCACTGTTGGAAGCTGGGACCTGCATCAAGTGGGAATGATGAATCTAGGCAGGCTTTCTGGCTACTTTGAGGTTTTTTTTTTTTTTTTTTTTGTCTTTTTCCTTTTTATCGGTACTAGGGATCGAACTCACGACTGCCTGCTTGCAAGGCATGTGCTTATGCCGCTGAGCTAAATCCCCAGCCCCTTTCTGGCTACTTTGATAATCCATTGTGGCTCAAGAGATATATGGAGACGTCTCTTGATAAGGACTGATGCCCAGGCTCCACAGCAGGGTGTTTGTCCTCACAGTGGGCAGCAGCAAAATAACGGGTGGATGGAAGTCAGAACTGGCTAAAAAGTCGGGGGGGGGGGCTTAATAAGATCTTGATTAGCTAAATCAGCTAATTTTCTTTTTAGAAATCTTAAGGATAAGAGGAAGAGGTCTCCCATACAAAGCCTCGAAAGAGGAAATACCTGCAACATAGGGGGTACATCGTGCATGCAAAAGAGCAAAAGGGAGGAGACTCACCCAGTTTTTGCCAGTTTTTAAGGCCATTAGTAATTATCGGCTTTAAAGTCTGGTTTATCTTTTTATTTGTCCTGAACTTTGAGGCCGGTAAGCACAATGGAGTTTCCAATTGATCTGCAAAGTTTAGGTTAGTTTTTAAGTTATCTGGGCTAAAAAAGCTGGGCCATTGGTGGACCCCATGGATAAGGGGAGGCCAAATCGGGGAAAATTGCTGTCAGGGCTGACTCAAACTTAGTAGGCAAAGCTTTAACCCATCTAGTGAAAAATATCTCATTATTAATAAGTACTTATTTTTTTGAAGTCCAGGCTTTTCTATTTTTGTAAAGTCTTTTTTAAAATGTTTTTTTAGGCATAGTCCCACATAGCGAGTGGTTTCTATTTGTTGCAGTTGTTTTGTGTTCACCAGTTGGCACTGAGGGTATCTGAGGCTCATAGACCGGGCTAGCTTTGATATTAGCCCCCAGGGATCGCTCAGAAGTTGAGCTGCCAGATGCAAGTCTTTTCAAGTACAAATAGGCTCCGACAAAGTAGGTGGGATCAGCAGTAATGTCAGGGCTATCTCAATCTCCACTGATTTTGTGGCTGTCTTTGGGCAGTGGCGTCTGCCAAATTATTTTTTGTATAACAAGGCCATCTCTTGCCCAGTGGCCTTGTTACTACAGTGGATAATAGCTATTCTCCTTGGCATCCAGATGGCAGCCAACAAGTCCAAAATTTGGGGAGCGTTTTTAATCTTTTGGCCCCAGAAGTCAATAAGCACCATTCTTGATAAATGGCCCCATGAACACGAGCAATAACAAATGCATACTTTGACAACTTGAGCCCTCAGTGAGGGCAATGAGTTCAGCCTGTTGGGCTGATGCTTCTGGCTCCAGGGCTGGTTCCCATACAATCTGAGAGTCTGTGGTAACGGTAGCTCCCGTGACCACTTACCTTGATAGATGTAACTGCTTCCATTGGAGAAATACAAAGGAACTCTGAATAGTGGCTCATCTGTCAAGTCTGGTCCCCAATATAGTCGTGGAGGGGCAAGGAGGGGCATCATCAGGCAGCAGAGTAGCAGGGTTTGAAGCTGCTGTTTTCTTAAAACTGATGGTAGTCAGATCTAGAAGTAATGCCTGATAATGCATGACTTGGGAGTTGGGCAGCCATTGGTCCGGTGGAGCCGTGATGAGAGTCTCCAGCGAATAGGAGGGGACAATTAAGAGTTTCTGTCTAAAAGTCAATTTTTAAGCCTCCTTTACCAGGAAGGCCACCAAGGAAATCACCTGCAGACAAGGTGGCCATCTGGCTGCCATATAATCAACTCTCTTGGAAAGAAAAGCAACAGGCCTCTGCCAGGGTCTCAAACTCTGGATCAGTTTTGTGGCTCCTAGAAATTTTTGCACTTGCCTTTAGTCACAGGGACTGGAATCTGTTGTATGACTTGCATCTGCTGGGAGGAAAGAGTCTTATTTTTCTTTATGGAGAGTCCAACAACCAATGTATTTTCTCTTCCCAGCAGGAACCTCTTAAGCCTGGTCCTTAGGGTCCTCTCGGTTGTCAAATCTTTTTTAAGCAACCTTTAATAACTGACTGAAGGGCATTTCCTCAAATCTCTCAAACTTTTGCAATTTTTGTCTAATGTCTGGGGCTGACTGAGTTACAAAGGCAATATTAATGGCTCTTGCATTTTTAGGTGCTACCGGTGTATAAATGTGATAGGCCTTTTGTAATCTTTTTAGAAAACCGCAAGGGAGACTTATTAGCCAGTTGTCTCATCTCTGTTGTCTTGGGCATATTAGTGGGTTTTCTGGAGTACCCTAATGACTACTGAGAACAACTGGCAATACTGGGGAACCTCTTTACCTCTGGTCCAATCGGGGTGGGACAAAAGGAAAACATGGTTCTGGCATTCTGGATCAGAGGGCAGGTTTTATCTGGATGGCACACTGTCCCAGGGTGCCACGTGGCAGGCCATTGTTTTACTGAAATTATATACTTAACAAAAAGGGCTTTTTCATAGGTCACAAAAGTAACTGTGTTGCATAATCTCCCAAATGTCCACAGCACATGCAAGAACTTGTATTTTATCTCTATAATCACCAATCACATTAGGCACAATAGTTATTTCTTTTAAATTTAGATAGTTTTTTTTCAGTACAAGACGAATTGGGTTTTTTATTTTCCTCTTTTTTGTTTAGCAATCAAAATCTCAACTCTGTCTTTACAATCTATAGCATTCCTGGAAATTCCCCTCCCCCAAACTCACAGTATGGTAAATTATTCTGTTGGGCTCTTTACTCTTGATAGACATGCCACAGAAAGAAAGCATTTTCTCTTTTACATTTTTACTTATAGACAAAACCATTTTTTTACTTATTACTAGTCAATTACTTCTTTTATTTTTAGACAACATTAAAATCTGTAACAAAATCCTTGAAATGATCTTTTTAGTAGTCTAAAACATATTTAATCATTTTATGTCTTTTTATCACATTAAAATGCTACATTTTAAAAACTAACTTTTTAATCTGGCTCAATTATAGTATGACCTGGTTTTACTTGGTAAAGTTAATACGATTTTTTAAAAAACCATAAATATACATATGTATGTGCACATATGTTCACATTTTAACCAGAAAGAAAGAATACTTTTTAAAGGCATGCCGAGGTTTCAAGTAATCAATTGAGGACTAAAACATTAAACAAGGCACCACAAAAGAAAAGACCAACATTAAAGACACAAACAAAGGTTGTTTGGTGCACAGTTTGGTGAGCTAAAGGAAATAATTTTCATTATGAACCTTGAGTCCAATGAGACACATGGATCCTGCAACAGAAATGAGCAAGGAGCCCCTAAGTTAGTAACAAATTCAACAAGTTCAAATGGGCAAAAAAAACCTCCAAAGTTAGTAACAGATTCAAACAGGCAGACAATTTCAAAGTATAAAAACACTGAACATACACATGGACAAAAAGCCCTAAATTTACAGATGGGCCGAAGCCCCACTTGGGCCGAAACCACACACATGGGCCTAAGTCCCCAAGAGCCCAAGCCCCAAATGGGCCAAAGACCCACACAGGCTGAAGCTCCAAATGGGCTGATGCCACACACGGGCCGAAGCCACATATTACAATGACTATTATACATTTTGGGTTTTATTACTCCCACAGTTCACTGATTCCCGTTCTCAGAGCTTTCACGCGTCTCTCTCCTTGCTGAGCCGATTCAGATGCTGCAGCTGTGGCAGGAAACCCAAATCGCAGCTTCCAATGGCGCAGGCTCCAGCTTCCACTCTGAGGCTTTATCTGTTCCTGTTACAGCACGAGAATTGCATTCCCAGTTGGTTTCTCTCAGCCCAGTTCGTTTTTGGGTCAACAGGGTATATCTCCTCTTTCTTAGGATTCCTCACTCCGTACCATTCCTGGATTGTAAGCTG